TTTTTGTTAAGACTAGGAAAATTTTGAAATTTAAAGAATCAGACAAGCTGTAACCAGTATAATTTAGTCATATTTAATATGAGACACTTATTTATCAGTGAAATCAAAAGATGACTATAAAATATTATAAGCTGATTAGATTTGGAGACGCCAGTTTGATAGTCTAAACTTTAGACATTAAATGCAAGATCTGAATATTTTAGGATCGATAGCCAGTAGGGTTGTGTACGTGCAGTGCACAAACAGTCGTCCAGCCTGTAGCAGGCTCGATAGATTCCATTTGGAATTTACACTCTTAGTCAACTAAAAACGAAAACATCACACTGAACACTCTATTTGCACACTATCTTTGAGTCCTTACTTCCAATGCTCCAGCCTTCTTCCATTCCTGCTGTTGCTTCTTTCACTTCCTGTCGCTGCTCTATTTATTTCTTGCTTTTGCTCTATTTGCTTTCCGTTTTCCTCTTCTGACCGTGAGACTTCTTCTTTCACGTCCATTCTTATACTACTTATATCGTTCGTATAAGTAGCACACACCACACTCGTCCCCCCTTTAACAAGTCGCTCTCTCAGCCTTTTTGATCGCCGTACAGCCGTCTTCTTTATCAGTGTTTGTGGCTCGCCCTCTTGGCGCACTTGGAACCACCTTTGGAGTTCACCTCTCGGTGACGACGTACGGTCCCTCCCACTTCGGGATCAGCTTACCTGACCCTGGCCCTCTTCCTGTGGTATATTTCCGTTCTCTACACTTTACTTGGTCTCCCACTTCAAACGGTCTCCAGTTCTTTCTCTCCTGTTCTGACTTCTCCATGTTTGATGTTTGTTTCTCTCTCACATTCCTGATTGCTTGTCTCCGCTCTGTTCTCAATCTTGTTGTATTCCATCTCTGTTGTTGCGGCCAGGTTTTATCATGCGTTGATAGTCTCGGCCGTCTGCCATACATCAGCTGGAACGGTGACTTCCTGGTTGTTCCCTGTGCCGAGGCACGATGTGCCAGCAAGATTAATGGTAATTCTTTCTCCCAGTCACCCCCTTTAGATGCTAGCCATTCCTTAAGCGTTTGGTTATTCCTTTCCGTTAACCCATTCGTCTGTGGATGATACGGCGTTGTTCGTACTCTCTTGATACCCAACTGCTTTAGACGGGACTTGAACTCATCACTCTCGAAACAGGGACCTTGATCGGTTGATATTATCTTTGGTATCCCATGGTCCGCCACAATGTGTCGCATTACCGCTTCCGTCACCGTCCTTGCACGTTGGTCCGCCATCGGCACGGCATTTACCCATCGTGTGGCATGCTCAGTCATCACCAGCAGGTACTGGTTACCACTTGTCGTCTGCGGGAACGGTCCCATAACATCTACTGACCACAAATCACCAACTGCTGTTACTGGAATCGACTGCAATGGCGGTCGTATGCATCGATCCCCTTTCATTAGTTGACATCACTGGCACGCTATTACATATCGTGCAACATCGTCTCTCATACCTGGCCAGTATGCACTTTGTCGCAGCAAATCAGTTGTCCGTGAAATACCTGTGTGCGCTACCTGGTGACACTCACGAATCATCTCCTGGCGCAGATCTTTTGGGATTATTGCTACCCAATTCTCGTCATCATCCCGCCAGGTCAAGGCTCCGTATCCGTTCACTCTCAGTCTCTCCTTCCGCCTCAGAAACACTGTTAATTCTTTGTCTGTTCCACTCTTGTCAACATCTTCTCCCTCTTTTATCACTCTGATTAGCTCCCGAAGGTTAGGGTCGGCTTTCTGATGTCGGACGAGTTCTAGGGGGTCTCTCTCTAGGCCGTTAACTGCACACGCTATCTCTGGAAGTTCGGCTTCGGTGTCCGGTCTTGACAAATAATCTGCCACTACATTTTCCTCCCCTGGCACATGCCCGATGCTAAAATCATTCTCCTGCAGACGTAGCATCCATCGAGCCAACTTCCCCCGATGGTCTTTTGCTGTTTTCAACCATTGGAGGGGCTTATGATCCGTCTCGATGTGAAATTGCCGACCCAGTAGATACGGTCTCCATTCGTCTACCGCCCATACAATCGCTAAACATTCTTTTTCTACTGTGGAATACTTCTGTTCTGTCGGCGTAAGGACACGGCTGGCATACTCCACTACTCTGTCAGACTGCCTAAATACCGCACCTATACCGTGATCGCTCGCATCAGTGGTCACTGTAAATTGCTTCTCAGGTTCCGGCAGTCTCAGCGTCATTTGGCGGTCATCTAACAGCTCTTTGATTCGGTCGAAAGTTTGTTGAGCGGTCTCTGTCCACGTAAACTTCGCATTGCTTAGCACTTTATATAGAGGTGCTGCTATATCGTTGAAGTTCTTCACGAATCTGCTGTAGAACGCCGCTCTTCCCAGGAACTGTCTTAACTTCCTTTTTGAGTTGGGAACTGCAATATTCTTTATCGTTAGAATCTTCTCCGGCAGTGGTTTTATTTCTCCATTGCCTACTTTATGCCCCAGCAACGTGACGCTTCTTTTCGCTATCTGAGACTTGTCTTTGTTAATTCGTAAACCAAACTCATCAATTCGCCTTAGGACCGCCTCCACGTGCCTCACATGTTCTGCCTCTGTACGACTGTATATGACCAAATCATCGCCATAAACCTCGACTTTCTCCAGGTTTCTGAGCAGCAATGTCATTAGTCTTCGAAACGTAAACGGTGCGCCCGCCAATCCAAAGGGCATTTGTTTAAATTGATACTGCTTCTCCCGTACGATAAATGCCGTTTTGCTGCGATCACTGTCTTTTATTGGTAGCTGCCAATAGCCCGACCGTAAATCTAACACTGTGAACACCGTAGCACTCTGTAAACGATCTAATGTCTCCGCTATTGTTGGTTTTATTTCTGTCACCTTATTCAGTTCTCTAAAGTCAACACAGAATCTATACTTTCCATTTGGCTTCTTTACCAAAAGTACCGGTGAGCTGTACGGGCTATCTGCTTCTTCAATTATACCTGCTTTTAACATCTCCTGTACTTGCTGGTTTATCTCAGCTTCCAAATGTATGGGGACCCGTCGCGTTGTGAAGATGGTTACTTCTTCGTTCTTTATCGGAATTTCATGTTTGACTTTATTACAAAACCCGTACGGTTCTCCGTCTCCTGTGAACGACTTCGTATATTTCGTGAGCACCTCGTTAATGTTCTGTTTCTTTCCAATGTCCTCTTTTGCTACTCTCACCTCAGCCACCTCATTGCTTTCATGTATTGTCAGTGTGCCGTACTTTGTAATCACCTTCTTACTTCTTGTATCAATAATTGCTCCTACTTCTCTCAAGAAATCTGCTCCTAGTATTGGTCTCGACAAGTTCGTAGTCACTACAAAGGGAAACTGTATTTCCGAACTGCCGATTTTCACGATATCATTTGAGACTCCTAGGATTCTTAACACGTGGCCTCCGACGGTGTTAACAACTAATGCACTCGGCCTGATACTTCTACACCGCTCTTTGTCTATTAACGAAACTGCCGCCCCTGTATCAATCAGGCACACGGCCTCTCGTTCGTTTATCCCTACTCTCGCATAGACCGCCCCCCTATCTACTACTGCCGCGACCCTCAGTTTCGAAAGACATAAAGAACACCTTCTATATGGTCTAAAATATCTACGTTTCCGTCTTGTTGGGCAATTCCTCTTCCAATGTCCGGTTCCTCCGCAAATATAGCATTTATTATTTCTTTCACCCTTTATTCGTAACGCTGCCACCTCTCGTGGTAATTCTTCTGTCTTCTTCACGACATCATCAGCCTGTCTTTCACACGCCACCGAGGCGACTGTTGAGTTCATCAGTTGTCTTGTTACTTTCGCCAGCTCGGTGACGTCCATTGGTTGTGCCACGTTCACAAGTCTCAACTGTTGGCCAACCTCTGCAGGCACACTTTCAATGAATTGCGAGGCTAGCATCTGTGCTTGCGACTCCTCATCTAAATTCGGCAGACCCCGGCGCAACAACCTTGTCAACTCCACGGCCAGCACGAGTGGGTCGCCATCCACCGACAGTCGCGCCTCTCGAAACTTCTGCAGCGCGCCCTGCCTATCCGCCGGGCTGTCGAACTACAACAGCAGCCTTCCCGTCACCGCCTTCCAGTCAGCGTCCTCCACACTATCGTACACCGCTCTCGCCCTGCCTCTTAGTAGAGTCCCCAGCGCCACCGCCTTCGCCTTCCGTTCCTTGACTCCGACCAGCTCCGCCGCAGCCTCGAACTCCTTCAAAAAGCTCCTTACATCTACGTCTTCAAACTCCCGAGGCCATGGAATCTTCATCCTGTGTAGAGGCAGTGACACCAATTGAGAAGACTGGGGCAGGCTTCTTCCATTCCTGCTGTTGCTTCTTTCACTTCCTGTCGCTGCTCTATTTATTTCTTGCTTTTGCTCTATTTGCTTTCCGTTTTCCTCTTCTGACCGTGAGACTTCTTCTTTCACGTCCATTCTTATACTACTTATATCGTTCGTATAAGTAGCACACACCACATATGTATCCTTCTGGTTGTAACTGATAACTGCATACACAGCTGAATGCATACACTGAAGGTTAGATACATGTCTATTTATTTGAAAGTCGACTAGTTATCCACTAACTTACTGTTATGTTTGCTATTTTTAAGATACAACCTGGTACAAGCAAACGTAACGCATAGCCAGTAATATAACAATAGGAAAAGGTAAACTATTCTTCTGCACTATAGTCAAGTTAACTAGAGGAAAATTTTCAGTCGGCAGAAAGACTATATAATAATGCATAAGTAACCTGGAACGAACGTACAATGTGTTGGATTCAAACTTAGATTTCGACTGAATAATAACTGTCTAGGTAGGTTAGATAAGCGTCTTGCTCAGTTTAACACCAAAACAAGTGATTTGGGTAAATAACGGTTCTAATATTCATCATAAATATAAATATACAAATATTACCACTCAGTTATTCCACCAAAACTTGTTCAATTTTTTTTCAAATCAACAACAACAAATAAGTGTTATTCTATCCATCCTGGATAGATCAGAATCGTTGGAAAGATAATA